TGGAATCGTTGTGACAATTGCAATCGAAATGCTATGAATAGTTATTTTCAACACAATATCTCAATTATTAACCTACATGAAATACAGAAAATTTCACAAAATATATTCCAACCTGAAGCTGAAAAGCTAGTTTAGACAAACGTAATCATACTTGGTGTGATGGTATGACAATCGCGGCATTCAATTTCTTTAAGACCTCATAGAAAAAAAAATGTAGTGGAGTTGAATCCGGCAAACGGACGAGTTAACCATCTCCGTATCCTATCTATCTCTGAGCATATGTTTCATTCAAACGTTAATTAACCATGAGAGAATCATAGAAAGGGGCACTATATTGTTGCCACATTTTCATTGGTCGTCCTAATAGTGGGATATATGCTAATAGTTTGAGCAAAGTGTTCAATAGGAAATCTGAATGTCGTAGTTCTGTTGAAGTATCAGTGTTCAAATATGATCCACCACACGTTTTCTTGGAGTTTCTACTATCCAATGTGATTGGACCAGTAATTAGCGTTGTGTATATTGACCACACCATTAAGGAACTTGCTTTCATTACCTCAGCATCTTTAGGACATAAGGATCATCATGTACCATAACTTAGAGACACGCGAAGAATATTATAATCTCGTTCTGAATCTTTCAACCGTCATCTGTGCACCAAATGGACATTACTAACCCCAAGACTATATGGCGTTTTCGAGACACAAACAAGGTTAACATTTTGTTGATGTTTCATTTGAGAAAACAAAGTTAGGTGTGGTTTTTTATAAACTGCAATGACTACAGCGATATCAAAAATATCAGGATTATTCGAATAACACTAGAAATTATGTTCACCTGTGCGCCTGTGTGAATTAAAAGTAACATTGTGCTATTATGAACTTCTATTGTAGCCTTTCAGTCATCTAAATCATCATTTTTTATTTTATCTATGTAATTTCGAACAGCATACTTTCGTTCCACATTGAAAAAAAAATTTTTTTGCATTTCACTTTATGTTTGAACCAAAACTAAGATGCAAAACATGCATCTTAGTTTTGCGTCAGTTTTTGATGTTTCACTAAGTTTCAATTTCAATTCACTAATTATCATAATATCGCTGAATTAGCATGAACTACTCAAGCCTCAGAGTTCTGTTATGTAACTGACTTCTTTAAAAACTTTCTTCGTTGAACATAATCTACCCAATCCGAGACAGTTCATTGAAGAAACTATATTAATTAGAAATATTTTATAAAGCATTCACAGCAGTACACGATCTTATTAAAAATAACACACTTTGAAGTGAATTTTCTATTGTATAGCAAAACACGTGTTGCGGTTTTGTTAACTTTCAAGTTCCAGTTCAAGTTATTCGCAAACTTGGTGTGAAAAAAAGCAATAATCAATATTGTTACGTTCTTCCCCGTGGGTTGATCAATAATTGACCACACTGAACACTAATCAAACTTGACTTTATTTCACTTTAAATACTACAAACACTTCTAAAACTTCAACACTAAACAACACTAAAACTTCAACCATTACTCAACACTTTAACTAACACTTCAACTACTATTCGCATGAATTTCATCGGTTCGGACTTCCATTGCCTGATATTATATAAAATGATTTGAAATCCCTAATATAACTAAAAAAGAAGAATTGAAAATCAAAGAAGAAGAATGAAAATGAATAGCTGAAGAAAACAATTATATTAGGAAAAAAACCTGAAATGAAATAATAGAGAAATAAAATACAAAGGAAACACTACTGTGGTGATGGATACTGTTCTCTATGATCAGAAGATCGAAAAGGTTCTTCAGAAGAAACAATACACGAAGATGGTACGGGACTCTACTGCATCAATTGAAAGGAAATTGTACCAGATTTTGAAAAAACACCAAGTCTATTTTTTGGACAAGGAGCGATCATTGCTAACACCGCACCACAGTAAGCCCCCTCACTTGTATGGACTACCCAAAATCCATAAGAAGGAAGTTCCGCTCAGACAGATCATCAGCTCCAGAGATTCGACTACACAAAACTTGTCTAGATTTCTATTCCCCATAATACAAATATTACAAGAAAAAACATCGTCTTTTGTGAATAATTCAAAGCGAACTACTAGGGGCAATTGAAGTCACATATGAAGATGAACTAATCAGTTTCGACGTGGAAAGCCTTTATACCAATGTTCAGGTCAAAGCACTCCAAATCATACAGGGAAAGCTATTCGAAGACGAGGACCTGAAAGATAGAACAATTCACCTATAGAAGTGATTATGGAATTACTAGGATGCTGTGTACGAAACTGTTATTTCCAACTGAAGGACGAATTTTTTACACAAGATGAGGGACTGCCAATGGGAACGTCACTCTCACCAGTCATAGCCAACATATATATGGAGTGGTTTGAAACTCTGGCCATTGAGAAAGCCCACGAAAAACCTCGTGTCTGGTTGAGATACGTTGATGACACCTTCATAATATGGAACCATGGGAATACTGAACTAGACGGCTTCCTGAAACATACAACAGCGTAAGACCTTCCACCACTTTCACAATGGAAAAGAAAGCCCACAACGAATTGCCATTCTTAGACGTATTGGTGAAGAGGACCGACACTAAGTGGGAAACATCAGTATACCGAAAACCCATTCACACGGGACACTCACCAACCATCATCAATCGACTAAAAGAGGAATCATCAAATCTCTATTAGACCGTGCTTTCGGAATTTGTAATACGAAGAAAGGTGTCGAAAAGGAACTAGACATCATCAAAAATTATCTTCAACGAAATGACTACTCCAAAGCGATTGTGGAACAGACTTTGGCTAAATAATAGCAGGAGTCCCGACAGGAAGAGAAGCCGTCACTACCAGTGCTTGCGCTTCCCTACGTCAGAGGATTATCGGAAAAGATACGAAAAGAATTGGATCGAAGTACAACATCAGAACCTGCTTCAGATCCGGAAACACTATCCGTAGCAGCCACACGAAAGCCAGGCCACCAAATGAGAACTGCGATTCCAATAATTGCATTTACCGGGTACCCTGTGGGTGTGGAAAATCGTATATCGGTGAAACTAAGAGGCCATTGAATGTTCGCATTGCCAAGCACAAAAAACACACAGCGAGAGGAAACCTGCGAATCAGGAATAGCAGAGCATGTTTGGACCCATCAACATAACATCGAATGGCCCAAACTGTGATCATACACAAAGAGTAAAATTGGTTTAGGAGGAAATTTAAAGAAGCCGCATACATTTTATCCAACAGTGTATTCAGCTAAGCCAGCGTAGAAATACGCAACATATGGAAACCCATAATCAAGCGAAAAATGGCTAACACTGTCACTTCCACTTGACTGTATTGATAGGCGAGTGGATCGTATTTATATTCGGCAATAGAAGGCCGTATAAAATTTTTCGGAAATCCATCGAAGCCGGTGGAATATTCGCCGGGATTCCATCGAAGATGGTTCGAACATTAGAATAATCGAGGCTGAGCGCGGCCTTTATCACGTCACAGTTGGTTTATGACAACCAGAAGCGGCCGGCTTTATTTTCTTTATTGCAATATTCACAACAATATGCAGAGAATTTCTCACTAACATACTAATATTCAAGGAGGTAATTTTTGGATCCAATTCATATAAACCGGTATTTTTTGGTGCTCAACATATTCTTTCATATTTGCAAGTGACATTCGTACGTAATTCACAATGAATCATTTGGAAAAAAAGTGTTTCGCTATTTTTCTTGATCTCTCGATCTTTTTCTTTCAGTATATGATTTTCCCATAAAAAAATCAATTCATTCATTTGTACGTTTATATGAAACTGAATGTGGTAATTATTTGATTTAGGAGGTTGATTGGACATAATCATAGGCAGTTTTTCGAAGAAAAATAGCCAGCTGGAAATAACAATATTTAGGTCCCAGAATCTCAATAGATTCAAATATTTTATATGGGGTTCGATCCCGAAGCATACTGAAGAGAGGTTGAGAAATCTCATTATTGTTTCTTGTGATACTCTCAGAAACAGTCCTAGCATTTTCCAAAGAGTGAGTGAGGTCAAGCATTATTTGCAGGGGATGGCCATTCTCAATATCCAATTTATTTTTTTGCGCGCTTAGGATATTTTTGTGTTAGTATTCCAAAATGTATCCAGATTACTTCACTTTCATAACTTCAACCTTCGAAAACTCTGTATTAAATAAAACTGTTCAAATTCACATAAATTGTTTTTTCGCTAGCTGGAAATATGAACTAAAAAACGAAAAATAAATGTGCTGCCAGGTTTGCACAGGAAAAAGGTGAATTCAAAAAATAGTTTTCATTAAAAAAAACAGTTGCTCATCACTTTTCTCTATAAAATAATTCAGCCTAAATTCCACACGGACGCCACTGACAAGAAATAAAAATATGTCGTACAGCAGAACAATTCTTTTGATCTATGGGAGATGAGAATTTCGTTTCGCAAACATATGTAGGGTCATACCAAATTAATAATAATAAGTAAAATATTATCGAAACTTAAACACCTTGTAATTCAAAGGTTGAGGCCATAATATGTTATCTCCTGCATAGAATATTAACATGTTATTAGGAAACACCCGTTTTATGGAACAGCAAGAGATACGAACTGAAAACTCTTCACAAAATTCATATAATTACATGTTGGAGTTTAAAAATTATCTAACTCCTATACATACTTGAACGTATTTTAACAAAGTATAACCGTCTACGTTATTTACCACAATTCAGATAACATATTCTCTTTATTCATACTCTGAAAACTTCTTCACCTTCTGGAATACCCTGTATGTCTAATATAATAATATGTATTATTTTTCAAAATGATATTTGGGTATATCATTCCTTATGTATTTATCATGTAACCAATTATGTTACTGTTATTCGAATTTCATTCAAATGGCAAACCATAATTTTATCCACCGGTGTTTTATTATGCATTTTCAACATCGTAATAACTATGGAATGTCTTTTTCAGGTGTCGGCGATGGGTACCGCTATTCCAAGCGCTTCATCCGTTCAGGGCCTCAATCATACACCATCAGCAGTAGTAGTTCTTCAGATGTTACAGTGCCCGTTTAGTGTTATTCAAGGCGAACAGAATCAAATAAGTAGGTAAGTTTAACGTTTCGGTACAATATTTATTTACACATTGTCCAAAACTAATTAAGACGGAGAAAGATACGTGTGCACTCATTGAAATTCAAATTGTATCTTGAGCATTAATATCAAAACCTTCGTATATTCTTATTAGACAAATCGGTATGAAAGATGAATTCACGGTAAGTTACTTGCTGGAAGGTTATTTAAAAATGTATACGTTTTCAATAATTCGATAATTTTTCTGAGCTAAAGCTAACTCGATTTAAAATTTGATAGTGTTCCATATGTGATATGTTTTATAGAAGGATGAAGGGTGAGCTTTTTCGAGAATTTATTAGGTTTATAAATGGACACTGATTTAAGATATTTGATTTTACCCTGTTTTATTGGAGGTTCCGTGTAACTAAGCCCTTATTTCCATTTAATTTTCCGAACTGGATTCACACCTGGTCCTTACCATTTCAAAAATGGTCAGTTCAAGTCGTAAATATTGATTCCAATAATTCTGCTTTTTGTTTTTTGTTTTAACATTACAACACAACGAGAGAATACACATGTCCATGTGGTGGCTACTGCCAAAGCCTTTTGATGATTAATAAAAAGTAACTCCATGGTAAGACTTTAGGTCAATTTTATACAATTTGTCGGTACTTAATTATGAATTTTAATATTTCCTCACTTTTTTGTCAGCGTTTTTTTTTCAATTCTCAATGCAGTACTAATATGCGTGTTTTGCCATATCCTTGGGCTACTTCAGCGATTCGATTTTCATCTCCTCATTCGTCGCAAAATGGCGTCCTTTCATGGTTCTCTTTAATCTTGGGAACAGGAAAACATTGCAGGAGGCGAATCTGATTATTACGGTGGCCGAGGCATGATTGTATTGCTTTTCGCAAGCGAGGTATTTCTCCAAAATAATACCCTTTATTGATCGTATGACCATGTGGCAAGAACTCCTGTCATAACCATATATCCATGATTCGTCAGTCATGATCTTTTTGGGCAGATGTGGATCGCGGTTGACGTTATTCAATAATTCCTGAACGCTTCATACTCGAAACTTCAAAAAAAAATCATGACACGAGCCTACCAACCGACATCCTCAGCAACTTCTCTAATAATGATTCGAGTATTCTCTATTGAAATTTTATTAACTTCCTCAACATTTTCATTGGTTGTTGATATGCTGGGACGTCCAGGGCGAGCGACCTTCCGTGTAAAGCGTGTTTTCATACAATCATCGTATGTCACTGTCAACATTTCAAGTGTTTTTGAGCACTTAACTCTATTTTCTACATGAAATTTGATGCCAAACATGGAAAACACTTGTAACTTAACATGCTCAACAGCTGAAACTGCGAACATGTGTTCGAGATGAGTGTACCAACGTAAAAAAACTTAAAAATCGCTATTCGAATGTACGTAGGTTGCGAAATAACAGTCTATGTATATTATATTATATAAAAGGGTAAAATGAGTGTTTATTCAAATAAATACTATTTTGGAGATTCGGTTAAGAACTTCGATGAATTAGATACAAATTAGAAAGCAGTTCCTGCGAAGTTAATTGTTTTCATGTTAATCTGCCTTATCCAACACTACTGTATGAGTCAAAAATAACTTGAAATAATAAAGTGGATATTCACCCAATCACTGACTGAATTCTACCAATTGGAGCTTTATAAAAATAAAGAATTTGAATCATATGAATAATTTCATCTGAGTTTCAATGAAAAGTAATTAAACATTAGAATTTTCAACTTTTTTTTCATTGATGAAATGTATTGAATAACCAAACGTAAACCAACTTTATTTTCATTCATTACATGTCCATTCAAATCAGTTCCTAAAAGTTCTCTCCTAGTATTCTCAATGATAATTAGTTTATATGTGAACTCAGGAAAAATCATTGGTATTTAATTCCATATCTTCTCATAGTTGGGTCCAGAAACAATAAAAAACGTAAAATGAAACAACTGGTTGATGAATGTGTAACTGAAGAAAATATCAGAAATACAATAACGCGAAATTCAACAAATTATACTTCATTAAAAAAACGGCAATATGCTGTAATGATTCAATTAGTTTTCAAAATTGCCATATGAACATATTTTTTTTCAAAATGGCAAAAACATTTCAATTCAAATTCCTTTTAAAACAATGAGAAATGAAATGTACCATGTTACTGTTAAAAACTCTCGAGCCAATATGCTAAAATGCGCTGGTGCATAAACTACAACTTACCTCGCCGGTAAGTCTAACTGGCAGAAATACCGGTCCAATTAGGAAGACACCTACAATCTCCATCCAAACGTTTAACGAGTACTGATATTTGAAGCGATCTTCAAGCACCCCATGTGGATTTTCTTCAGCGCAAACATGGTTATTGTGAAAATTCCTTATGGCATTTCTTGAGAAACTGGCTTCATCGAACCAATGTGCACAGAAGCCATTGACAGAATGCGATACGTGGAAGAAAATCTGCAGGAAGAAGTACCTGAACTCGTTGTATTGGTACAACAAATAGTCTTTAAGAATGTATTTGCAATTTTTCTAATAGAGGTACCTGGATCTTCTTTCATCATGGCCAGCACATTCTCTTCTACTTCTACCGTTTTTACTGTCATTGGCCTTCCTGATCCTCCATTACGCTTCAATGCTCCTATTTCACGTAGTTGTTGATTTATACTTTGGAAGGTTTTTCTATTAGGCATAAATGAAATGCATGTCAGCCACCTCTGCGTTACTAGAGCTATTCACGATAGAGCACTTCACTAACAAGACTTTTATTTCGGCAAGTTAATAATTTTAAAATCACCTTCTTTTTTCGCCCCGTATCTTGGAAACAAAGCGCCCTATCAAAATTCATCAAATGACAAAATATCCTTAGAACAGTCCAAGGAATAGTCCTTCAGTTTTATGCCGCATATTCCATAAACACCCTGTTTATCAAAACTGAAACAACTGTTTCAACTGCTTTGAAGCAGAACACACACTTGAAAACGGTAGTCATCCCAACATATGCAAAAACTGTACCAAAAAGCATAATTTAATACTACATCATGATATATCACTTAGTCAATAGAACACCAAGATCACTTCATATAGGCATTCACCATTGGACAATAATGTACAAATCACAAAAAGATAACTTTCCAAACGGAATTTTTGAAACCTCGCATAAACCACACAGAAGTGTTTCGTTGTGTACGGTTTCAAGACGTGTACTACTGAAAAGCCGTTTGGATATGAAATATGATTTTCCGAACCAAACGTCAAAAATATAAGAACATAGGCTTCCACGGTCAGAGTCATGGCTGAAGAGAACTGGATCCGGGTCAACAGGCCATGATCGAATGTGACCTGAAATACCAAACGTCATCAGCCATTTGGTGGAATGGCCGTTTTAGATAAGTGAAGATGCTATCTCATGGCTGATCACAAGAATATAGTTCACCAAATACCTGAGAAAAAAAAACAAATATGTTGGAGTATCATTAATCACAATGAGCAATAACTTTTAAATTTTCGAATAAATTTAAAAATTCAAAACTTGTATCAAACAACAAATAGTACGTTATTATCATTTAATACTTTCATAGACATACCCATATTCTACATGAACATAAAATTCCAGTTTTCTTGCTTTCAAATGAACATAAACTCTGCATTCAGACACTCTCTTGACTGGCAGGCAGTTATTAGGCTCCGAATGGGCTCAGTACAGTTAGAAGTGTGATACGTCGATGTATCACATGTTTTAAGGATGATCTAGATGGGGTCACTGCCAGTCGTTGAAGCATTTGTAATTGGCCAGAAACATGCCACCTGAATCATTTCTAAATTGTTTGAGGTGATTTATTTCGCGAAGGGGATCTACAAATTTATTCTGATAATGGAACCAATTCAGAAAAATATTTCCAATTCATAAAATGAAGGCAATGCAATTTCGTAGTGACCTCATTTTGGTGGTCTCTGAGAGGCTTGTAAAAATCGGCGTAATATCATTTGAAATTGCATTCTAGTTAATCTTATCTCACATATGAGAAACTCAGTACAATAAAAATTGGCGTTATATCATTTGAAATGGATTCTATTCAATCTTATCTCACATATCAGAAATTCAGTACAATAATGGTACAAGTAGAATGAGTTGTCAACTCCCGACCTCCGTCCCATCATTCAATGAAGCCACGAAAGTTATTCTATCATGCATGGATGCATATATTCCTTTTTCAATGAAACGACCTTCTAATGGCAATCCTTGGCCCAACAAAAATTGGGAACAAGCTGTCTCCTCCAAAAATCTCGCCTACCGACAGTGGCGCAAAATTTCAAGTGCCGAAAACCGAACTAGGTTTGTTAATGCCGCAACAGCTTCAAACTTAGGATAAATGAAAGCAAAGAACTTCACAATCAGAGAATTAGGAATAAACTGCTTGGTAGTCCCACCGGGTTTAGATCCTTCCGGTTGGTAGCTGAAGCTGTTAATCAGAATTTCACAAAATCCACAGTTCCACCACTAATACAAGCGGTTAGTTCAATTGCAACAACAGCCATATAAAAAGCAAATCCACTTGCTGAACAATTTGCGTCCCATTTCACAGTTGATTTTCTGGGAAAGGTACCACCCACTATTTACACACTAGAATTGACAATGTCGGCGAATTTTGAAACAGCTCAATATCAACAAGGTGTTTGGCCTTGATGAAGTGCTCGAAAGGAATTTTTCCTTCTTGTAGTAAAAATTCTCGCGTTCGGCCTATTCCCAAAAAGGGAAAAAATCTTTCAAATAACTATAGACCGGTCGCTTTGCTATCAGTGATATGAAAAATCATGGAGGAAGTCGTAAACCACCATTTCCTCAAATATTTGGAAGGCTTCTACATCTTGAGTTATCATCAATATGGTTTTCGGAAACAAAAATCAACAGGCGACCTTTTATCGTATGTCGTATGTCACCCATATTTGGAATAACGCAATCGAGAAACATGGAGATTCGAGAGCTGTTG